TTTTCCTTTCAAATTGAGAGAAAATAGAAATGCTGTTGACCTATTACAGTCTGTTTGGTTTAGAATATAAAGCAGCATCAAAAATGGGGTTCAAAACTATAGTTCCAGATTCTCCAAAGATGCTAAGAGTTACCCACTCTAGACCTTTGAAAACACAAATGTCGTCTTCTGCTAAGCCCCTGCTCTGGGTTAATGATCAAAAGCAAGTCTACACAAAGTTCCAGTCTGATTGCACAAACTCATACCCTTCCTTAGTGAGTTGGGGCAAAGTGAGCTCAAAGTCACAGTGGCCAGCTGGAAGTGGCTTTGATGTGAGGGTAGATTAGTGGAGTGCTGCTGGATTTGCTGACTCTAAGTAAACTGCCTGCCTGGTGTGGATCTTGACAAGCCCTTGCACGACTCGATTCTTCGGCCTTTGTGAGCTTCAGGGTCTTTAGTCTGTCAAAACCTTCAGGGTCGATCTGTCCAAGGACTGTGATGTACCGTGGTTTTCATGTGGGACACTGCAGTGTGTGTGATGCTCATGATTCATAAAACAATTATTGAGAATGTCCCACTTGACCTTCTGGTTATCTAATACACAACTAGGTATCCATTCAAATCAGTCAGATTTACTCTGATAGTGGAATGGCAGGCTCAGTAAAAAGAGGTGATGCTCTCAGCCAGGAATGTCATCAAGGAAACCAAGCGTAGCCTTCAGGAATTCTTCACTAATACATTTGTTGTCTAAGAGTGGAAATATTAAGCAGTCATGTAAAACTATAATCCTGTTTGACACAAGTGCATAGCTTGATGGATTCTACAGCCCGTGATGTTTCTCAGGCGATTCATGAAACATATATACATAAAAAAACGTATGTACGCATTAAATCCTGTATAGAATGTAATACAGAATGCATCATCAGCATTTTTTGGACAAGAGTTCAATATCTGGCTGCCTTTTCTTCTATTGGGCATGGAAACACCTTTGAAATGTTTTTCAAAGCATCGATCTCAACAAAAAACAAAAACATTGTTAAGGCTAAATATAGGTATTGGCTGGAATGTCACATGCATGCTGGGTTTAAATGCTGCTTAAAAATGAACTCTCTGTCAGGACCCGTCACAGGGGTCATAAGAGGTCACTACATGTCTGAGACGCTGTAAAATATGTAAAGACATGTCAAAAGGCTTAAAGAACATTAAAGAACTGAACAATCCATACATCCAAGTCTTAAACACCCCGGTGCCAACACTTACTTACTGACTAAGGTTCAGGCTTTTTCCATCCCTTTAGGCTCCCTTTGGGTCTGACCTCTGACCCTTAGCTTTCAGGGGATAGTGAGTGAACGGAACATGACTCTGTTTCATATCCAATGTGCAGCATATCCTCACAGTGTTCTGTAACTGTAATCACATTGAAAAGTATAGCTTTAACTGTCATTTTTATGACACTTCACAAAATCCAAATTTCCTGTTAAGTGTTTAGCGCCAACAATGGTCTATGAAAGGTCAGGTCTTCTGCTGCATTTAAACTGGAGATTTAATATATTAATTAATGTATTTATGTTGCTGTTGTTGGTTTGTTTAGTACAGTTTAGTACAATAAGTTGATTCACCTCATTGGCGAGAGCCACTATTCAAAACGATAAAGATACTTTAAGATCATTTCAACCTGCCCAACAGTTTTTTTACCTGTTAAGACCAAATGGGTAAAATGCAGAGAGTGCGTTTTCAGATGTGGTGAGCAATGCTGTCTCAACTTGAGAAACTCAAAAGTGGTACTTTTACATGGTGCTTCTGATAAGAGACTGATGCACAATTAATAAACCTGAAGGCCACCATGGTATTTCTCTCAGGGTCAACTCTAGGAGGTTGTTCCTGGTGATGGCTGAAGCCAACCAGAGCCTATTCTGGGAGTGTAGGGCACAGGAGGAGGACAAGCCCCTGGACAGGATGCCCGTCCATGGAAGGGCACACACACAATTTAGAGACACCAGTCATCCTAGTCAGCTTATTTTGGAAAATCAGGAGCACCCAGGGAATTTCCATAGAAATGTAGGGAAAATGTGCAAATTCCACACAGAAGTAGCCACATCCCAAACTTTAACTCAGCATCCCAGACCTTGGAGGCAAAAACATTTACTGTATCACTACACCACCCAGGCAATACAATGAGTCTCAGCCCCTCTCTGCTTCTTGATTTGAATGGGTTATTGTATAAACATGTCACCCTCAAACATGCGGCTTTCTGCTTTTTGCATACAGCTTGCTGGTCTTGGTTCTCAATCACTGCATTTACAGACGCCTGTATCACTGCCAAAAATAAACTTCAGCTTGATTTATGCCCAGATTATGGCTGCTGAAAGGACTCCAGCTGTCACTAATAGATGCTATTAACTTTACAGAGCAGTAATGATTTCCTATTGACTTGAAAATGTTGAATACATTGCAGAGACTCATCATCAGATCCAGCAATTACGTTTATTACATTACTGAGGAAGAGGGTGGTGAACGGAGGTTGTGTGTGTTTGTGGGGCTGGAATGCAACATTAGGGGAGGGAAGGCCAGCAGATGATATCTTTAAAAGTCAGCTGCCCTGGAATCTCTGGACTTCGGTCTGTTTGCTATATTTTTTGGATGTTCTTCACAAAAAGAAACCTCCCGGGAGAAATTAAAACTGCCACCAACCTGGAATCTCGTTTAGTCAGAGGCTGGGAACAAGGAAGCAATGTGCCGAAGTCCTCACTATCTCGGAAGCTGGGAAAAAAAGGATAAATATGTTTTTGCAATAGAAAAAAACACTCCAGAGCCTATAAGCGGTATTTGTACTGCAAGAATAGTACTGTTAGAAACAAACTGAGTTATTTATTTCTAACACAAAGTTCCTTAGAGATATTCTAACAGTTTCATTTCATCATGCTTCATTTCATTGTTTTTTTTACCTAGTGAACGTAAGTGAAATATTATATTTTTTTAAAGTGAATGGTTTCTAGATGTGTCTTCACTTACTATGATTCTTGTGACTGAAACCTTCCTCCTTATAATCAGTGAATGATACTAACCCCTCCAATGACCATATATAATATATGCAACGTCAATCCCTCACAAAAAACAAACAAACGCTTACCTGTATCATGACTGGCTGATATGGTTAAGATCCAGCCAAACCAAGCAACAACAAAACTAGAGAGGTATAGTATAGTAGTTTACCTATAGTATGCAAGGGTAAACCTAAAACTATAGGTAAACATGCAGTATCCTGATGGTGGAGGAGGAGGGAATTGTTGTACACTTCTCCTTCATAATGTACATTTTTGAGAACCATATACAATTTTTCATGCTGAGAGTCAGAACAGTGCCAAGGAGAGAATGAACATTAATCGGAGGAATCATGAGACTGTTATGCATTAACAAGCCTTACAAGCTCATGGGTACGACTGTGGAAACTCACAGGTGTGCTTGTTGTGTGACAGGCCGAGACGTCTGCTGCTGACTCAAGCCTATCCAGCTTTGATAGTGCTTGGTCAATTCTTGGTGTTGGAATCACCAAGTCTTGAAGCAGCTACATCTGGCACACAGGGCTCAGTCTGTGCTCAGAGCAAGTATCCTTAATGACTGGGAGATGCAGATGGGCCCAGGGGGAATGATATTCAGTTACCTAATAACTGCTTTGCTCTCAACCTTAAAAACATAAGAAAGGTTACAAATGAGAGGAGGCCATTTGGACCATCGAGCTAATGTGGTAATTAGTGGTGAATGGATTTAAGAATATCATTCACCTGTTTTTTGACAGATTACAGGGCAACAGCTTCAACAACAAGGACCAAGGGTGCGTAGCTTGTTCCATAGTCCCACAACCCTTCGCCCTTGCTCTCAGTTTTAAATGCCCCCTAATGTGATGAAAGTGCCTACAGCTATTGGGAACATGAACAGAGGGGCATCAGGCAAACCCTGTGAACTGACCTGGAGCTCAAAACAAGGAAAAATTAAGTAATTGAATTTCAGACTTCAAAATTTCTGGCTTTTTACATATACTACACATCTACAAACACACACTGGGACGCTGTAGTTCAGAAAGCCTTCATGACAACTTTTTTAACAGGCCTTTAACAATTCTGATATCATCTTGCTGTAGTATAGATGAGCAATTAATAATGCTGGATTCAAAAGGTGACTTCGACATTAGGACATACACGCTGAAGGATTTTTTTGCTTTCTTTCAGCAAGTAAAAAATGAATAAGAGCAGAGCAGCTGTCATGCACTTTCCTGTCCAGAATCACCTTGATGAACAGCTGCATGACCTTAGCTTTTAAATAAACCAGCAGAGCCAATCTGAAACATGAGCTTCTACTTACCATCTGTGAATACATAGCACTTACAAGGCACACTAAAAAACAGGCCTAACATAATTTTGATAGTAAAGAGCTTATATTTTAATCAGGTTTGTGTATTCTACTGTTGTTTTAAGCAGCCACTTTTTTAATTA